AGCTGCCCTTGGCCTCAGGGGCTCCAGTCCCCATGTGCCCAAGGCAGTGGCTCAGTGCCTGAGTGTTGCAGGCTCTGTCAGGCAGCAATTCTGTGCTGGGGCTGTGCTGGGGCTGGGAAATTCAAGCAATGGCCCCGCTGAAATGCAGAGCAAGGCTTGCAGTGCTGCAGCTCCTCTGGCACTGCTAGATTACATGGTTTTGTGATAAACGTGGCACTGATGGGTTATGGATTGGACTTACTGATCTTAGAGGGCTTTTCCAGCCTGAGCAATTCTATTTTTCTATGATTCCAAGTGTTAATCTTTGCAACATGAAATGTTGCCTGCAAAGGATTGTGGACATTGCAAGAAAAGAGAGCAGAAGGGTGACAGGGGCTGCTGAGCCCCGACAGCAGCAGCCAGGAGGCTCCAAACACAGCCTGGGGGTTGTGTGTGCACACAGGGATGCAGAGATGCTGCTGCTGTGGAGAGAGAGAACAGAATACACAGATGATGAATTAACCAGTCAGAGGAATGTGGCTGAAGGAGGTGTTATTCATGCTGAGGTGATAGTCAGTAATGTTGGTGATAGTCAGTAATGTTGGTGATAGTCAGTAATGTTGGTGAGCATGTGTGGATCTGCTGGAGGGTAGGGAGGCTCTGCAGAGGGACCTGGACAGGCTGGATACATGAGCCGAGTCCAACAAGGTGAGGTTTAGCAAGACCAAGTGCTGGGTCCTGCACTTTGGCCACAACAACCCCTGCAGTGCTCCAGGCTGGGGACAGAGTGGCTGGACAGCAGCCAGGCAGAAAGGGACCTGGGGGCACTGATGGACAGCAGGCTGGACAGGAGCCAGCAGTGTGCCCAGGTGGCCAGGAAGGCCAATGGCACCTGGCCTGGATCAGGAATGGTGTGGCCAGCAGGAGCAGGGCAGTGATTCTTCCCCTGTGCTCAGCACTGGTTGGGCAGCACCTCGAGTGCTGTGCCCAGCTCTGTCCCCTCAGTTTAGGAGGGACATGGAGGGGCTGGAGCGTGTCCAGAGGAGGGAATGAGGCTGGGGAGGGCTCTGGAACACAAACCCTGGGAGGAACGGCTGAGGGAGCTGGGGGTGTTTATCCTGGAGAAAAGGAGACTCAGGGGTGACTTTATCACTCTTACAACTCCCTGAAAGGTGCCTGTGCCAGCTGGGGATGGTCTCTTTCTCCAGGCAGCACTGACAGAACCAGAGGACACAGCCTCAAGCTGTGCCAAGGGAAAATTAGGTTGGATATTGGGAAAAAGTTTTTCATGGAAAGAGTGATAAAGCACTGGAATGGTCTGCCTGGGGAGGTGGTGGAGTCACCATCCCTGGATGTGTTTAACAAAGCCTGGATGTGGCACTCAGAGCCAGGGTTTAGTTCATGAGGAGGTGTTGGGTCATGGGCTGGACTTGGTGATCTCAAAGGTCTTTTCCAACCCAATTCATTCTGTGATTCTGTGATTCTGTGATTCTGTGAGCTGCTCCCAATAAATCCTTGCCCTGCCATGCTCTCCAGCCTTTGGCCAGCAAACACATCCCAGGGCACCATTTTGCAAAGCATTGTGTCACAGTGTAGTTCTGGGACTTATGGCAAGCTTACATTTGGAGCTGGAACTAAACTCATGGTTTCTCCAGGTATGTCTGAATTCCCAGGTGGAAGTTCTTTCAGTTCACAAGTTATTTTGCCCATTTTGCCACCCCACAATATTTTAGTAACAGAACTATAAATTTTCAATTGGTGTTAAGAGCAAGTGATTTCCATGGCTGCAAGTATATTCTCCCCTCCCAATTCCTGAGAATTAACACAGCAGAGGTTTTATATGTGCAAGAGGATTTGTCTTGGAAAGCCAATAGGAAGTGGGCTCCTACATTAAGATCCTCAAGCAGAGGAGGAGCAAAGTGAACTGGTGAAATTTTGCACAAAGCAGCAAAATACAGAGGGGTGAAACTGGTTTCATAAAGTCATAATAGGTAAAAATAACTTTTCTTGTATGTGGATAGAAATAGTTGGAGATAACCAGATTCATAATTGTATGTGAACACAAAAAATGCACATATTGGGTCTGTGCTTTGGAGATCCTTGAGCTGTGACCATGGGTTGGGTTCTGTTGTTATATAAACACCAGAGAGTCAGGAAGCTCAGGGAACTTGACCTCGAGAATGACACCAAGTTATGGCACAGCCAGCTTGTGTTGAGCCCTGGGGATTTCCCTTGCCCTGCAGCATCCAGGTGAAGCTTGGAGCACATTGGAAATGAGGATCTGGAACTGGTGGAGAACAGCATGACCAGCCTCAAAACTGAGGGTGGCATAAATATTTGGATAGAGGGGAAGTAGGTTAAGAAGCAAAGTTAATTACTGAATGACTTGGTGGAAGGATGGGAAGTGACTCTTACCACAAAATATTTTTTTCTGAACAAAGGAGGATGGATAAAAAAGTGTGCCTTGACTGTTGCTGCCACAAATGTATGAAAAAAAAAATTCTCCCAAACCCATACACCTCTTCTCTTGTTTGAAACCCTTTGTAAAGGGGAAAGAAAGTAACATATCCCAAGGTATCAGTGTTTTTTGTAAATGTATCAAATTTTCCAAAATTCTTTAGAATATATTTAATACTGTTTAATATCTAACTTGAGTAAGTTTATTCTTGAAAAGTAATACTTCTATTGCTTAAAATAGTAGTGATTATTAATTTCGACACTATTTTTTTCTTGAAGTTAAAAAACCAACAACATAGGGAAAGAAAGAATTCCTTCTGGAAACCTTGTTTTAAATGACCCCCTCTAATCCTCTTCCAAAACATCTTAGAGAAATGAGAACCTCAAGTTTCTATGGAGCCATCAGCAAGCTAAAGGAGCTATAAATGAGAGCTCTGAGTTCATGTAGGTGTCTCCAGATTTCCCATTATGGCCAGAGCTGTGTGCAGCTCATCCTGATCTTGCTCTGGTCACACCATGAAACCTCAGGGTTTAGTAGCAGAATGAGCAATGATCTCCCTGCCCCGAAGAATTGCACACCAAAAAGAGTTTTCTACTGAAAAACTTAATGGCAGCTTTGTTCTGGAATCACTCTTGACTAACTCAGATGGCAAATCCAAGAGAATGAGAGGATGGAGTTTTCACTGCACCATCAGTCTCTGGGGCAGCTGTGAAGTAACAGTCAATAAATTAATTTTTGAGAGAGGAATCTGACTGGCAGAATAAATAAATAAATAAGAGATAAGATGGAGAATAGAAGTTGTGGTGCTGCTGGCTTTCTGGAACCCATAGGACAAATATGACTGAGGGGAATATTAAGGAGAATGTGTTTGGGAGTGTAAAATGCAAAATACCACATGGAAAGAAAGTCAGAGGGTGGAAAAGTCCTGGGTAAATGGATCTGTCTGTTCATAGAGATAAAGAGGATTTCTTTTGGTGGAGTATTTAATTGCTGGAGGTTCCATTCAGTGCTGCTCTGGATATTGTAGAGGCCTGTGCTGTTGTGTGGCTATGGGAATAATTACAAACCCACATTTGGATCTGGGACGAGACTTCTGGTTTTGCCAGGTACATTTACCCTGATTTTATTACTAATCTGCAAGTTTGTTAATACACACCCAGATCAGGGGAATGGCAGCAGTCAAGGCCATTGTAGCCCAGCTCAAGCAGTGGCATTTAGCTCAGGGCAGCTGTCCAGGGGCAGCCACAGGCTCCAGTGCTCCTCCTCTGACTGCACTCCTGGGAGCAGCTAACACAGAGCCTGCATTTGTTCTCTCCTAAAGGTCCATGGCACTTCCACTGGCCTCAAGGAAAGCCATGGATTATACAAGTCAGATGGAAAAGCAAAGGTGTTTATAATATTTACATTGCTGGCCAAGAGCCAGGGATGTGCAGCCACAGCCCAGAAAGCCAAGTCCATCCTGGGCTGCATCCCCAGCAGCATTCCCAGGACACTGAGGGATTGATTGATTGATTGATTGATTGATTGATTGATTCTCCCCCTCTGCTCTGCTCTGCCCAGGTGAGACCCCACCTGCAGAGCTGTGCTCACCTCTGGGGTCCCAGCAAAGACCAGAACCTGCTGGGCTGGATTAACAGGAGTGCCACAGAAGCACTCAGAGGGATGGAGCAGCTCTCCTGTGGGGACAGCCTGGGAGGGATGGGGTGGTTTAGCCTGGACAAGGCTCCACAGACATCTTATTTCAACCTTTCAGTACTTAAGAGTACTTACAGGCTTATAAGATGGAGAATAAGTTTTAAAAACAACCTGTAGTGACAGGAGAGAGAGGAATGGTTTTAAACTAAAATAGGGTAGATTCAAACTGGAGTTAAAGAAGAAAATATTTTGCTATGAGAGCAGTGAAACACCAGCACAGAGAGGTGGTACATGCCCCATTCCTGAAACATTCAAGGCCAGCTTGGATGGGGCTCTGAGCAATCCTAGTTGAAGTTGTTCCTTGTTGCCTTGGATGACCTTTAAAGTTCTCTCCAATCCAAACCACTCTGTGGTTCTGTGATTTAGAAAATCCCCACTTAGGGTGACGATCACCCTTTTAGCTGGTGTTTGCTTGTATCAGAGCACCACCAAGGAGCATTGCTCTACAACACTTGTAATACCAGTGTTGGAATGGGGACTGGCTGCTTTTAGCTGATGTATGGACACTGTGTTATCCACAAATACTGCACGGGATTCTGGCTGTGGCTGGGACTTGCAGCTTTGCTGAGCTGTCACAGCTGCAGAACCATTTGTAATACTCCAGGGTCTGCAGAGACTGAGTGTGAATTCCCAAAAAATGGAGTTATCAGGCTGCCTGTGAGGCTCCAAGGCCTAGACAGGGGCACATTGTGCCACTGAAACCTGTGAGGACACAACTATAACCAAATCCGACCTCACAGAGGTTTCCTGTGAGCCACAGGGATGGAGAGGGGAAAACTGACATTAGGAAAAAGAACCTTATGGGTGATCAAGGCACCAAGGTGGGTATTGAATACTCAGGAGGAAAGCTGGACTGAAAAGCTGTAGCCCCAACTGCATGGCTCAGTGAACTGGAATTTCAGGTGATATTACAAGTGGAAAAACAGATCATTCCTTGTATTGCCCCAACATATAAAATACCTGTAAAATAACTGTAACCAGTTAATGAATGGACATTTTTAAAACTTGATCCCTGTATTTCTGATCCTGATAATCTTCTGGTAGATTTATTGGGTACTTTGAGAGTGTCTTAAGTCAACATGTTCCATCATGAAGTTACCCCCTGCTCTGGAGTGTGTGTTGGCCTGGCTGCCAGTGTGGATTGCAAAAACCTGCCCACGTTTTTGTAGAGGCTGGCACCAGTGTGCCAACCAGGGATACATAAAACCCACATTTGGAACTGGGACCCAGCTTGTTGTCACCCCTAGTAAGTTTGAGCTTTCTCTTCCATATTAACACCAGGTACATCATTTGTTTATTGGGTAGGTGTGATGCCTTTTCCTCTGATCCCAGAATGAAGAGACAGACATGGTGAAGGGATAAAAGGGTTTTTATCTCAGTATTTAATAAGGATCCTTAGGTGCAACAATTTGTCAAGGTGGAATATGCTGAAATGCACACAGACAGTAGATTGTGTATACAATTTTAGAGACCTTGAAAATTAGCATATCTGACATAGATTCCCTAATGAGAAGCTTAAATGAGTGGTGTGACATTTCCATATTCTAGTGCATTCCCTCAGATGGGCTTAATCTTAGTTTAGAGAATATGTTCTAGAGAGAACCTTGCCTTCTCAAGACAGTGTAAGGTTTCCTGGCCTCCAGCTGTGAGGCTTGTAGGATATTTGTCCTTCTGGCCTAGCAGAATACCAGGACTATGCTAAGATATCAGGTTTAAAGAATTACAAGTATGTGTGCTAAGAGCACTGAGAATACATAAAATGTGTATAAAAAGAAAAGGCAGAAAAATCATCGTGGCATCAGAGGGAGCAGGGATTTCATGGGAGCTTATTCCAACTTCTTTTCAGCTTCCCTTGGCAAAGGCCAGTTGGGATAGAGGTGTGGGATGGCAGGAGGGCTTGGCTGTGCTGGGGCAGTGACAGAGCAGTGGCAGGAGGTGGTGATGTCCAGCCAGGTTTATCAGCCATGGCCTGGTGACTGCAGCTGCTTCTCACTAAGGGCTTAGAGACTGCATTTTCTAAAGCTTAGCCTAAGAGAATATACCATGATCTTTCTTTTCTAAAATCCATAACCATTGTATCATTCCAAGATTTTTTCTGGAAACAAAATCTATGCTACATATAATTGAAAACTTGGTCTCCCAATTGAAAACCAGTCTGATTTTGGAAGAAAAAACATGGAAAAGCATTTTGTGAAAATGACAGAAGTTCTCAGAAGGTTCATGAGCAGCCACTTCAAGTCTTTTTGTTTTGAGGAAATTGTCACAAAGCTGGGTTAATCCATCTCAGTCACCTCTGAGAGGGTGGATTAGATAACCAGAATTGATCCTTCTAACCCCCAAAAAACTTTTCTTAACATTGTTGAAAGGAGCAGCAGAGGACATCATAGCAATTCTCTCCTGTGGTTTAGGTGGTGCCTGAGTAGATCCATACATGAACACAAACAGGGTATTGCTTCCCAATAAGAAAAAATTCATTTAAAATTCATCTCAATTTTTTCTGAATGTGAGCACATGCCAAAAGCCCAGGATTTGTCCTGGTTTGGTACTAGAGAACTATTTATTCTGTTGATACTTCATTTCTCCTCAGATACCGGGTATCTTCCTCTATTAATTCACTGTTACTTCTGCTTCAGTGGGAAATCTTTCCCTTAAAAAGTTTGTAAGAAAGACTTTGGATAGTTTTGGCAGTCTGACTTCCCCAAGTATAATTACAGAGGCAATAACAAACACATTTTTTGGAATGAGACCAGAATTAGGCCTGAAGGCTGTCAGTAAAGCAGCATATTCATATTTGCAAACACTGAATCTCTCCTCAGAGTTCTCTGCACTTTGATGGTGTGGGCTAACGCTGGACCAGGGCCTGCTTCTGCTACCTGAGTGTGTCCAGAGTCTAGAAAGGGTTCCTGTCCTAAATGTTCATCTAGGCTTGCTGTAGCCACCAGCCATCCAGCTGGGAACAGAACAGATAAAGAACATTGATTTCAGTGACAAAGAAGATTTTGAGGCCCTTTCTAGACTTCCCCCATGTAAAGAAATTAAATTTCTTCATCTGGGAGCTAAGCTGTCTTCAGGATCTCTACAATATGACAGATTTCACAGAGGACCTCTGGCAGAGCTTTTGGAACATGCATTGATGGAACATGATGGAAACAGCACTAAATGTGATGTAAATTCATTGGAGCTGCTCCTCTGGGGGCCTGTGGGAGTGGGCAGGGGTTCCTGCAGTGGGGCAAAGCTCCAGGCTGGCTCCAGCTGTGGAATATCATGTCTCAGGCTGAAGAGTGCTAAGAGCACCAAAACTTCTGTCAAAATTCAGTCTGACAGAGATGCAGATAGGTTATTTCGGAAGGAATGGAGAATGTGATCATTTTCTGCATGATAACACCTAGGAATTAAACCAGCTCAGGATTTCTACTGCAGCTTTTTTGGAGGGGAAAAAAGAAAGGGCACAGGTCTCAGGCTGATGTTGGAACAGAGTTCAACTCCCCTGAAATCAGCCTCTGGTTGGCTGGCTCTGTAGACTGGGCAGGAACAGCATCCAACAGCTCCTGCTCTTCCACCTGGAAGACATCCTTCAGAAAAGATAAAATTAGGCAGCATAGAAAGCTCAGAGCATCATTATTTGTCATTTATTATTATTTCTCACTCTTTCCTGTGAATAGAGGTCATAAATATGCAGCATCTCCAGCACAGGCTGCAGCTCATTAAGACAGAATAACAGGTCACAGGGCTGTGGTTAGAGTAGATGTTGTTCACCAGAATTATCTCAAACCTTCATAGCAGTGGGCAGATACACCAAGGAACTCACAGGAACTGAGCTGCAGCACCAGAACAGAGGCAGCCACCACTCGGAGTGAGAACAGGAAATTAATATTTTGCAAAACTGCTGAAGCTTCCTGTGAAAAGCAGACTTTACTGATTTATGTGTTCAAGATCAAAGCATTGCATAGATTGAAAAGGAGAAAAACACCCTAATTTGGGGAGAGGTCGATGTTTATCTCTTCAGAAAGTGCTGCACTTGTGATGAGAGAGGAGAGCAGCTTGACAAATTCCCCCTTTCTCCTTCATTTCCACGTACCCCATGGCCAGGATCCACCCTGGCTCATCTGTATTTTATGCAGGGATTTATCATCAAGCTTTTTAGCAGCTCCTCCTTCCTCTCCCTAACAAACAATCACAATTCCCAAAGCACTACCTGGGAGCATGGCAAGCTGGGGAGTCCCAGCAGACATCAGGTGTATTTCTGCATACAAAGAGTCTCCTCAGGTTCTTCAAAGCCAGGGCAAAGCTAGGATGGATGAAATAATTCAGGAGATGGGCCAGAGAATGAACCCTTGGGCTTTGGGAATTATTTTTTTTTTCTGAGATGATACTAAGAGAGAAGTATGGCTATTTCTCTGAGGTGGCAACAGCTGGGAGCAGAACAGATGAATAACATTTATTTCAGTGATAAAGAACAGACAAAGAACATTTATTTCAGTGATAAAGAAGATTTTTGAGATACTTTCTAGACTTTCTCCATGGGAAGAAATGAAAATTTCTTCATCTAGGAGCTAAAATGTCTTCAGTGTTTCTACAATATTTATCAGTGAGGCTTGTGAACAGGGAGAAAGCAAAGATTATCTCAACTCTCAATCCAGTAACACTTCATCAGTTTATAAATGTGAACTGAAGCTCTCATTGAAATCTGTGAAGGCCAATGGAAAATGGAGCCATGGGGCTGCTGAGAGCCCCAAACCTGCCTTGAGGTTACATTGAGTATGTCTGTTATATTTCATGTAGTCATCATGAGAGCACTGCAGTGTCTGGAACATTTTACTGTTAGCCATGAACGAGGATTTAGGAATGCACCTTCTGATAGAATCAGATGAAATGTGTGCTTAGAGTACAAGTTTATAAAGCTAAATATGCAAAGAAGGGTTTAACCACAGGTTGTGTTTTGATACATGTGGAAAATCCCAGTCTGACTGACTCACTAGCAGAGTTTGAAGCAAGGAAACACTGATGAGCCCCAGGTGTCATATCTGCAGCCTTTAGTGCCTCAAACCCCTCTCTGCAGGGTAAAATTTTGTAAAATACTTTGGTACAAGAGGTGGAACGTGATGAAACATTTGTTTGCTTCCCCTTTTTGTCCCCGTGCTCCTCCTTTGCTTCTCAAGCTTCCTGCTGTAGCAGCACCACCAGTAAACTGCTGGTAAATGTGGACACCAAGGTTTAGTGATTTATCCACTAAAGGAGGTGTCCCCATGAGGACACAAGGGGGAAGGATTTTGCATTTGGTGGATTTGACCAAACATTTGCAGAAAAAGCAGAATGGCCCTGGGCTGTCTCAAGAATCCCAGAACCCCAGAATGGTTTGGGTGGGCAGGGAGCTGATGTTGCCATGTTCCATCCAGGCAGGGAAATCTGCTGGGCCTGGCTGCTCTCTCCAGCTTCTCACACATCCCTGGGTGTTCCCAGGCCGAGGTGCCAGAGCCCAGTGAGCTGTTGAGAGGAATGGCTGGGTTAGTGTGGACATGCAGGGTGTGATGTCCATGAGCCTTTCCAGGTGCTCCAGGAATTCTGCCTGCCCACTCTGTGTCTCCCACACAACATAAGTCAACAGAAGGAGCCTCAGCAGCATCTGCTGTAGGTGCTTGGTTCTCTAAAGGTGTCCTGGCACCAGATTCCAATGATCAGCAATGATTATCCCACTGGAATAATGGAGAAACCTGCATTTCCAGGTGCCTGTATGCTTAGACTGAAGGAACTGTGTGATCTGACCTAATGACTCTTCTTTTCTCCTCTTGCAGAAGTTACTCCATCTCCCTCAGTCTACAGGCTGACCTCTAAAGATGACCAGAATCTGGAGATGTGCCTTATCACAGATTACTCCCCTGAACAGCTGGCTCTTGACTCGGCTGAGCAGCACACATCTGCTGTGGTGGAGGTGGGAAGTGCTGAGAGCAGCAAGGAATCCAGCTACCTGTCCACCTACTGGGCCAGGAGGGATGAGCTGCACTGTGGTGCCAGGCACGAGGGCTTTGGAGAGCTGGAGGGCGAGGACCCTGAGAGTGGTAATGGCATTTCTGGGGCTCTGAGCAGGGCTGGGGGTGCTCTGGGTGCTGCTGGTGCGAGCAGGACTGGGTGCAGCTCCCAGCTGTCAGGAAAATTAATCCACAAACACCAGAGGTTTATGTCCAAAAAGCAGACAGAGAAGTCCTCTTGCTTTATTCTAAATATATATATATATAAAATTTATATTCAAATATTTATTCTAATAAAGGGAGAGGCCATGGGACATTCCCCTGGGATCTCTCCAATTGTTGGAGGACACAGCCTCCCTTTTTATCCCAATTTCCCATCCATTTCCTTCTCTCTTTCCCCATTGGCTGAGGTGCTTGAGAGGTGCAGACTTCCCAGAACACCTGATACCTAAGATTCCCCTTTAATATATAACCTTTTATTTTAAAATTCTTATAGAATTCATGTTTTTTCCCCATTGCTTCTTTCATCTTTCAATATCCAGTTTCATTTATCAGCAAACCTGCAGTTTCTTTGTAAAGGCAAATATCTTTTTTTTTTTTCCATTCATCAATCAGTGGATTCCTTCCCATTGTTTCTTTTATGTCTCAGTGCTGGTTTTATCTACCAGCAGACCCACAGCTTGTTTGTACAGACAAGTCCCTCATTCCTCTCCCAGCCCTGCAGTGCTCCACTATAAGACAGAGGAATGTTGCCTCTGTTTTCTCTCTCCTTGGTGCAAACAGGATTAAGGGTCACTAGACTGGTACAATCATAGTAGAGAGATCTTAAAAACACACTGTGAGGGGATAGAAAGCCTGAAATTCCTTTGTCCAATGGGACACTGAAGTTTAACTAGATCATATTTTATGCTTGCCCTGAAAAAAGGAGAAAAGAGTGTGTATGGGAGGGTTTGTTGGCCAGAAACTCTAATTTAGTCCTTCTAAGCAGACATATCTTTGTAGACCTCTGAAGAAGTACATTTTTGTTATTAATCACATTTATTGTTACTCTCTGCAGGTGCCAGCGCTGTCTGTGTCACAGGGCTGTCCCTACACTTCAGGACAGGTATGTAACACAGCATTTTAGGAGAAAACTCTGGCCAGACTGAAGTAAATGTCTTCCCAAGCTTTTGCTGGTTTCCCTTGCTTGCAGAATTCTTTTTGAAGCAGCAAAAAATCAGATAGAAAATTTCCAAAAGGGCCCCCACGGGGTTTAAAAACATCAAGGCTGAAAGCTGTGGTGTTAATGCAGCCTCCGTGACCCAAGGTGATGATTGAATCAGGGCAGGCAGTGCCCACAGCTCCTGCTCTGAGTCAGCACTGCCTCAGTTCCGAGGAGCTGGGTTGTTTTGGGTGCACAAACACCCCGAGAAACAGGAGCTGAGCTGGTGGTGTCTGAGCTCAGGGCTCCCCACAGCACCTCAGCTCTGCCCCAGCTCACTGGGGAGGGCTCGGTCCGAGCATTTGCTGCTCTGCCACTTCAAAGAGCAGAGCCTGAGCCTGCCCTGCTCACACGGCAGCTGTGCTCTTACAAATCTTACAAATCTTTCCAAAACACCCTGTCAGGAAAATACTCATCAGCAAACACGGCTGGTTCCATCAGCCTTTCAGCTCTCTGAAAGGTTCTCACCGATGTGGAAAACAAGGTTCACTTTCCTGGTAACTTTAAAAGGATTTAATAAAAAAAGAAGACAAATAAGAGACAAAGACAAAAAAAGCAAAGGGTTAATGCGGCCGGGTGCTGGGCACTCAGCCAAGAGCACACCCTAACCCTGAGAACACTTGGTTAAATGCATCAGCATATTGCATATTCATAGATCTTTATGCATGATTCAAAATCAACCCCCCCACAACCTGTAAATCAACAATTTTTTGTGGCACCTTTCTGTTTCCTACTCCCTGATCATTAAATCCCTTCCCTGGAGTTCTGGTTATCTTCATCCAGATAATCCAGGATAATCCAAGAATGTGAAGAATTTCCTGATTATCTTTTTTACTGTTCTCTGAGTTAGTTACATGAACAAAAGCTTTTTACATCACCATGTTGTAGTCCAAGAAAAATACATATTTATCACACTACTATTTTTACGTTTTGTTAATAACAGAACTAAAAGAAACTATATTCATACAGCAAAGTTTTCCAACATTATGGATACAGCATTCATTTTAATTTTTGTGAAAAGTCAATAATATAATATGTACTTATAACACTGATAAACATACAGTGAGTTTTTGCTGAGAGCTCCCTCCTTCTCCAGGACAGATCAACGTATTTTCAAATACAAATGGTTTTCTAACTTCAGATTAATATAAAATTCAAATACAATTGTGTTCTATGACTGAAATCAAAATTACTTTTCCCCTGCACATCTTCCAAAAAATTTAGAGAGAGGAAGGAGGGCTGCCTCCAGCATCCTGGGTTCACAATGCACAGTATTTAGGCTGTTCAGACTGGCTTATTGGATAATTAAGTGGTTGTTAAATAGAAGAAATTGAAGTCTCTGAGTCCTAGTCCTTATCTCGTTTCCTGCCCTCCCAGCTGACTCCATCTCACAACGGAGCAGTTTTGTTAAAAAGAGTTTTTCAGTCTCTCTGGAACACGAGGATGTCTCAGTGCTCTTGTGACTCTCATTTTGTGTTTTATTCCAGATGAACACTTGAACACGCTGTCTTTGTCACAGCTGGGCCTCAAAATAGTTTTAATGAAAACCATACTTTTTAATGTGCTGATGACGATGCTTATGTGGAAGAAAAAAAAGGTGAGTACGCTTGGAGGGGGTCTGAAAACATCTGTGAGAAAACATCTGGATTGGTTCTTCAGCTGTGAATGCTCCTTCTCTCTGCAGTAGCTGTTCATGCAATCTATCCAGACTTCTTTTGTCTGCCAGCAGTTGTAAGGGTGCTGGTGTTTTCCACAACTTAATTAGTGGCTTGTTTGGAGGTGGTTTTTTGGTTTTGTTTTTATACTTAGAGCCAGGATTAAAAAACACCCGAAGGAAATTAATTTTCTCGTGTCCAGGCCTGGTTGTTTATTAAATTTTATTAAAAGTACAGAAAGTTTAGCAACACTTCTAGCTACCAGCTAGAAGTGAGCAAATTGGAGCTGAATCCAGCTAGCTACAAGGTTTTTTAAAGCTAAACAGTATAATGGAAAAATAACACCTATATTATTTATACTTTTAACCCAATAATCAAATTCCCGTGGTTTTAACTCTATTACTTAAATTTGGAAGTCGTTTTTAAGGTTCTAGGTTAAAATCAGTGTTTTTCAGGGTCAATGTCAGAAAGCACAGAAAACTTTAAAAACTTAAGTTTCTGGGATTCAACAAGCAGTAAAATCCCTCCATTCCTCTGGCCATACCATTTTCACCCACCCCTCTAGTGCTCTTCCTTGTACATAAGAATTTTTTTTTCCTATCAAGACATTTCTCCCTTCTATTTCTACATCCATCCCTTCCCTTGCCTGCATTCATCCATCAGATTTCTTCCCTCACCTGTCTCCAGCTGGGAAAGTTTGATGGTTATTGATTTTAATATAAATCCTTATATATTTGGTTTTGCCCAGTGTTTGTTTCTTCTCTTTCTCTTGCCTGGACACTTCAGCTCTACAATTGTGCAGCTGTAACTCAAATAATGATTTAACACCCCTTTGTTTTTGTTATTTGTTACAGGACTGAAAGTGGTGCAGTCCTGAAGTACCCAAACCATCTGCTTTGAGAGAGCTTCGTGAGCAAGAGGGAGCACGGGGATATTCCCTGTGCAAGGGACATCACTTGCTGTTCTTCTAAACCACACCAGCCATTATATTCTAAATTGCTTTATTTGCATTGCTTTAAAACGACTCAAAACGAAACATTTCCAGCGTTCTGCCCTCCTGGGTCACTCACCATGCAGAGCCTCTTCTGCTGAAGCCGACTCATATTATATATATATACTTATATATGCTTTTATATATAGCCGAAGCTATAATTACACATTGCCAAGGATCGCTGTTATTTGCATTAAGATGAGACTTCTGCCTGCAGCAGTGCAGTTTGTTAAAAACTGCAAGATAAACATCACCTGAATGGGAATTTTTCCTGTTTTTGGTAGCTTTAGGGTATTCATGTCTCTTAGGATGCACCCCCGAAACCTTTTCAGGTGCAAATGAAACGCTTTGAAAAACAAAGGGAGATCTGACTCAGGATGCAAGGTCTTGCCAGACTTTGCTAGATCACAGCAAGAGATCCTTTTTTTTCCTAAAGGATGAGCTGCAGGTCTCCAAGAAGTCCCAAATTCTGTGAAATTGTCACTTCAATATCACAGAAAAAAAAATAAAAAGAAAAATAATATTTTTATTAATTTTTAAAAAGTCTATCTGACCATGACATCATCTTAATGTAAACCAGTTTAAGAGTTGGCTTTGTGTTTAGTAAAAATACAAACCACTTTTGTTCTTTCTGTTTGCTTTTAACAACCTGAGATCTCCTAAGTTCTTTTTGTAACAATTGCATAAAAATATACTGAAATATTTACTTGTCCATGTGTGCCCACCTTGGAACAGTGCTTGCCTGTGGCATCTGCATGCTGCTAATTCATGAATTGCACTGGCACCCACGAGATGTCTTGGCATTTCTTTTGGCTGTTATCAAAGAATTCTTACCAAAAAATGAGAAACGTGTTTGTCTCTTGTGTTTGTTGTTCGAGGCATTGCTTCACCCTTTCAGCTGAGCTTTGGGAGGGAGGAGGGAAGGGGTTGGATCCACCATGGAGGGAACAAGGTCCTTCTGCAGGACATCTGTGCTGTGTCCTGTGAGGACAGGGGGGAGAGAGAGAATTCACAGAATCACAGAATTCACAGAACTCACAGAATGACAGAATAATTCACACAATCACTGGTTTGGAAGAGACCTCCAAGATCATCGAGTCCAGCCCATGCCCCAACACCTCACCCAGACCATGGCACCGAGTGCCACATCCAGGCTTTGTTAAACACATCCAGGGATGGTGACTCCACCACCTCCCCAGGCAGACCATTCCAGTGCTTTATCACTCTCTCCATGAAAAACTTTTTCCCAATATCCAACCTAATTTTCCCTTGGCACAGCTTGAGGCTGTGTCCTCTGGTTCTGTCAGTGCTGCCTGGAGAAAGACACCAACCCCAGCTGGCACAGGCACCTTTCAGGGAGTTGTAAGAGTGATAAAGTCACCCCTGAGTCTCCTTTTCTCCAGGATAAACACCCCCAGCTCCCTCAGCCGTTCCTCCCAGGGTTTGTGTTCCAGAGCCCTCCCCAGCCTCATTCCCTCCTCTGGACACGCTCCAGCCCCTCCATGTCCCTCCTAAACTGAGGGGACAGAGCTGGGCACAGCACTCGAGGTGAGTGAAGGGGGAGCCCCCCTGCCCTGACACTGTGCTGGGGGGACACAACACAAACACGGCTTGGCCACAGAGGGGCTGGTGACAGGCCCGGCTCCCTGGGGTGCTGGGGGCACACGGGAGCCTGAGGTGTCCTGTCCCCAGTGCTGGGTGTCACACAGCACAGGGCGCCTGTGATGGCACCCATGGAACCCCTGGGCCTCCAGGTCCTGTCTGGGCCTGGCGATTTCCTGCAGGGGAAATGTTTTCCTTTTGTGACAGCAATTTCCCCAACATCTTCTGATGCCCCACTGAGGCCTTTCCGGGACTAACTTAAAACAGGCCGGACAAAATTAAGGGAATAAGAAGCTGATATGTTTATTGAATATATTTATTTATTGAAGGGCCTTCAGGTACATTTCAGGCAGACAAAACCTCCCAGGAGCTACACACAAAAATGGACAACGGGTCACAGCTTTGGTTTTCATACTTTTATAAGTTTGGTCCATTTGCATATCAGGGTTAATCTTCCAATTACAGCTTCAGGTAATGAAGTCATTTACTCTCAATTTGCCCTCCCCAACTCACTTTTGTTTACATTTCTCAGGCCTGAGGCAGTGAGGGGTCCTTGATTCCCAGGCCTGGAGAGGAATTGTTGTGTCTGACAGAGTGGGAAAGCAGCAGCTCACACTGTACATGGAGTTTAGAGTTACACACTAAAGAATTGCAGGATTACAAATCTATGAAAAATATAAAAGTTAAAATGCTAAGGCATCACCGGAGGTTCCTCTGTGGGGAAGAAATGAGAAGTATGCTCTGACAGAAATACACTCCCTGCAAAGCTTGAACCTTGCCTGTGCCTCCCCCCAGCTCCCAAAGGGGCAGGAAAAGCCCCCTGGACCAGTGGGGGTGGCTGTCCCTCACCCAGCTGGGTTCACAGCCTGCACAAGGAGCTGCTTTGGAAAGGGTCATGATTCAAACACTTTCAGCCCTGGTGCTTCCTGTGGAAGGACCATGCCAGGGTCTGACCCCAGCAGCAACAGGACAAAGCCTCCCTGGTGTCCTGCCCTGGTGCTGCACCCAGCCCTGAGCTGTGAGCTGTCACTCACAGGGTGACAGTCACTGACCCCTCCTGACAAGGAACAACTGCAAACTTTCCCTATTGCCCTGATTATTTTACAGCACAGATGTTCAGGGACTTGTTCTCGTCTCTCCCTGGACACAGCCATCATTCTCCTCTCTCCAGCTGTAGGAAACCTGTGGCTCCTGAAGTGCTGGAATTCCAGGCTGCTCTTGGAGCCCACATTCCACTCCTGATGAAATCTGCCATGTCATGGGAAACAGCCTGAAGAAACTGCCTAAACCATATATGAACTATAAAGCAAGTCATAAGTCATTGCTTTTCACAGATTTCCAACCAATTAACCTCATTCCAGAAACTTTCAGGGATGTGGAAGAAAACTTTCCACGCTCATTTACCTTTAGCATCAATTTTAAAAATTAATAACCATCGTAAATTTTTTATGTTGCAGTTCAAACTCACTCCCAGATGAAAGGGCAAGAGTTAAGGACTGTGCTGTCTCTGTTCCCACACCTGAGTCTTTCCTCTTCCGGGTTAAACTGACCCCAGGGACAGGATTTGCCAGGTGGGAGATGAGTTAAATATTTTGACTAAAATGGCTCCTGGCATGTGACCTGCAAAGCACTGAATTTGCAAAGTCAACTTCACAGACACTTTCAGATATCAGGCTGCCAATCTCCCACCACCACAACGTGGCCCCCCCTCCCCTGCATTTTCTTGTTTATTTCAAGACACAAAAACCACGGAGCAAAGCAAAGCCAGGAAATAACAGAGCAGGACAGGAGGTGGGAAAGGGCTCGTGGCCCAGGTGGGGCAGGAAGAGGCCACAGCACAAGTTCCATGACGCCACAATCGAGATCTGGGTCACCACTGATGCTCGTCTGCCCCCCACCACAAAAACCACTTCCTCTGGAAAGTGCAGCACAAAGGGCTGGGGGTGGCACGTGGCAGGGACGGGGGAGCTGTGGAAAAGAACAGCAGACGTTAGACCACAAGCCAAAGTGGAATGAGGTTAAGATGTCCTGCCCTCCCACCCTCACCACAGCCTGCACTTGGGGAGTTGTTTTGGGTGCAGCAGGAAGGATTGAGCTATGTATAGAGTGGGCAGGGAAAGGAGGGGGGAAATGCACTATAAAGCATGGTGGGGAGAGCTCCTAGAATTGGGTCAGATTTCTGAATTTGCTGGTAGGTCTCTTCACCATTTTTACAGATTGAAAAATCCTTCCACGTCTCCTGACCTGGATGAGAAGGAAGGGTGAAGGGGCAGGCCAGGATCCTCTCACACTGCCAGGGAAGGAGGTTTTGCATGGTCCACCTTTAGCATCCTCTCCTCTATGTCACCTCCTGTCCTCCATGGGTAGTAGAAGATGAATTTGTGTGTTTTCTCGGGGTTTTGTTGGAGAAAATGTCCTGCCCAATATTTGTCACCTCTCATCAAACATGTTCCTGTGCACAAACCATCCTCTCTTATTTTCCTCCTCCTCCCTGTGTGATCAGGGACTCGAGTGTGGACTTTGCAAGGACCAGAGCCTGAAGGTGTCAGTGGATTTGTTGTAGCTTATTCCAGCACAGAAGAAGCTGTGATAGGACTTGGATTCATCGTAGGGTCACAGAATCCCAGAATAGTTTGGTTTGGAAGGGACCATAAAGATCACCCATTCCCATCCCATGGGCAGGGACTTGCCACTATCCCAAGGTGTTCCAAGCCCTGTCCAGCCTGGCCTTGGACACCTCCAGGGATCCAGGGGCAGCCACAGCTGCTCTGGTTATCCTGTGCCAGGGAACAATTCCTCCCCCATATCCCATCTAACCCTACCTTCTGTCAGCTTGAAACCATTCCACCTTGTCCTGTCACTCCAGCCTTTGTGAAAAGTCTCTCTGCAATTCTACTTTCCTTCAAGAATTCCAATTAATGGCAACTGGAGGAATCATATGCAGTTAAGAAGCAGGAAAAAGGAAAAAAAAACAAAAAACAAAAAACCAAAACTGCACAGCAAAGCCCGGCACCTCGTGTGGCTCAGCCCCTGTGCAGTTCCGAGCAGCGGCCAGGGGAGGGCCCGGGCTGGGCATCCTCTGCCATGGCTGTGCTGGTCCTGCTGCCAGGGCACGGCGAAGCAGAGCTGGGTGCATCATTGTCCGTCTGACCACGGTGAAGTTCCCAGCCCGCACAGCGCTGTGCTTTGCACTGGCAGCTGGACAGATGTTGATAACAGAGCAGTGTTCTGGCTACTGCCCAGCAGCGCTGTGCCTCTGACATTCCTGCCCCCACAAAGGGCATCCTGGGAGGGGGCCCAGCCAGGCCAGCTGACCCCAGTTAACCCAAGGGATATTCCATTCCATGTGACATCAGCTCAGATGGATGAGCTAAGGACAGAGGAGGAAGGGGGGGTATTTGTGAGTTCTCCGTGTTTGCCTTCCAGAGGAAGCATCACACGAGGGGCAGCCCTGCTTCCCGGCAAGTGTCCAAACATCGCTGCTCATGGGAAGTACAAACTGACTTTTTCTTTCTCTTTAGCCCACACATGCACAGATCTCCACTGATTTCTTTCTATTACTGTAATAAAACTGCCTTATCTCACCTTGCTGGACATTCTCCATCTTCTTCTCTCCTCTGTCCCAGTGGGAGTGACTGAGTGGGCACCTGACACCCAGCCAGAGTCACCCTGCCCCACCATCCCTGCACCCTGAGCCCCTGCCTGCCCTCCCAGCACTGCTGCCATTCCAGACTAGTCCAGGAGTGGTAGTGCCCGAGCTGGCACGAGTGCTTTGCTCCTGACACAGACCCAGACTCCATTGGCTAGGACAGTGCAAACCTCTCTGACCCCTCACAGCCCGTGTTAGGCAAGAGATTTGGGAGCCCCAGGTTTCAGACTGTTACAGCTTTAATGGTTGCAGTGCAGCTGGAAATGTTGAAAAGGTGGCAAACAGGAGCCAGAACAGAATTCTGAGAGGTTCTGAAGCCATCAGAGACCCAAAGTTCCATCTCCTCAGTGCAGCACACAAACATCTCCATGCCAAGGAGTTTCAAGGCTCTTGAGGTTTTACCTCCCCAGCATTTCAGCTGCAGAGAAAACCAGACAAGCACGAAGTAGGATCAGTGTGAGGACAGAACCTCACACGAAGTGAGACCTGAACAGACTCGATCAGCGGGCAAAGCACAATGGCTGGGGGTTCAAGGCCAAGTGCTGGTCCTGCACGGGGGCCACAGCAACCCCCTGCAGCTCCAGCTGGGGGAGGAGTGGCTCAAGAGCTGTTCGGCAGAAGGGACTCACCGTGCTGGTTGCCAGCTGGCCTAATGTGAGCCAACAGTGTGCCCAAGTGGCCAAGAAGGCCAACAGCAACCTGGCTTGTGTGAAGAACAGTGCAGCCACAAGGGATCACCCCCTTGTACTCAGCACTGGTGAGGCTGCAGCTCGAGTGCTGCATTCAGTTCTGGACTCCTTTTAAAAAGGACTTTGAGGGGCTGGAGTGTGTCCAGTGAAGAGCAACAAGGCTCATGAAAGACTAGAAAATATTTCTCTTCTGAGGAATGTCTAAGGGAGAGCTGGAGTTGTTTAGTGTGGAGAAGAGGTGGCTCAGAGGGGGTCAATCACAGCCCTGAAAGGCTCTGGTGAGGTGGGCTCGGTCTCTTGTGCTGTGCCTGGGGCAGTGGCCTTGAGCTGAGACCGGGGAGACCCAGGTTAGATCAGGGTGGTCAGGCCTTGAAGGGGCTGCCCAGGGAGGTGGAGGAGTCACCCCTGGGGTGCTCAGGAGGTGTCAGGACCTGGTGCTGGGTGATGAGTTTTAATTACAGTGGCAGTGCTGGGTGGATGGTTGGACTGGATGATCTTGAAGGTCTCTCCCAACCTTGATGCTGTGATTCTGAGGGGGGAGCTTCTCCCTGGCCCCAGAGCAGCTCCAGTGCCACTCTGAGGCCCTGACAGCTGGGCAGGAACCTGGGCAGTCCATCCCAACCCCCCTGTGCTCATCAGCACATCAGAGTGCAGGCACACTGACACCATGGCAGGGCGGCTGCATCACCCCAGGCCTTTGTGAGCCCCTAAGTCCAGCTGGGACATCCAGATGTGGCCCACGTGTCTCTGAGGGACGTGGGAGGGTCTGTGGGAACTGGGTACACCTGGGTATGTGCTGGAGGACACTTCCTTTCCTTTGTGGCCACTAACCACAGCCTCATCTGAATTTTCCACAGCTTTGAAGCCCAGGGGCACATTGGCAACAGACTCTGGAAGATCAAAAGGCAGGAAAGAGGGAGATGAAAAGGGTGGATGACAACTGAATTTCCATTATCACTTGTTTCCTGCTTCCCTCCAAAACTGGGGCACAGAAAAAAAGCCTGCTGGGTAGAAAGGAAGGGAGAGAGGCAAAACGAGGGAGTCATGCCTGAGAGGGAACCCGGAAGCAGGAAAAGCTCTGTATTTGTCACCAACATGGAAAAGGCTGCAGTGTTATAAAAGGTTTTATTGATGGAAAGGATCAGAGTTACATAATGAGACTGCAGACACCTCCAGAGGACACTCTGGAGGGGAAAATCTTGAGCCCTGTGTCCCCTTCCTCCACCAAGGAAGAAGGTGAGAGTGTGCTGGGCACTTCCCTGTGCCAGGCTTTGTCATCAGGAGCAGTTCACCACCTGGAAAGAGAGCAAGCAACATCAGAAATGTCACTGCAGAGCAGAGGGGACAAAGCTCCCCCAGCCCCAGTGATCCTGTGGCCCCTTGCACCAGTAACAACAGAGCATGTCCCCACTTCCCAACACCCAACTGTCCCTGTCCCAGCTGCCTCATCTGCAAAGGAACTCCAGACTTGAACCCCAGCCATACCTCAGCTCACAGAGCCCAGGACTTCGAGCTCCCAAAGCTTCTCCTGCAAAGAAGAATGGGGAATTTCTCTCATAAGAGAGGAATGTGGGTAGGTTTCTGTAGCAGTGCTACTTAAATTCTTTAATTATAAAAGCCAAAAAAGATATGCTCAAAGCCAGAAAGCCATAAATCCTCACTCTGTGCCAAGCCAGAGGACAACAGCTCAGCTGTGCTTGGCCAAAGGAAGCTGGGATCTCAGGGAACTCCTGAATTCCCTCTCCTTCTAGTTCTCCCCAAAAGCACTGCAGTCCTGTGGCTGCTCCTTTTGTGACTCCACAGATCAGTACCTGGCAGCCTCTCCCAGAGCTCAGCCAACAAAATTGATGACGACGAGATGGAGAATGGTGTTGGCAAAGAGGAAATCAGCAAATGCCCGCTCTGGGGAAATGCCCTGGAACTCGCCCTTGTTCTGGGGGTTGATCTGGATCCGGAGACAAACTGCACAGCAGAGAAAGAATGAGCCAGCAGTGAGCACAGGAACAAGCCATGGTGGGAAGCACAGCCTTCCTGGGGCAGCCCAGCCCAGGAGGGGTCACTGCTCCACCAGGGAGAAGTTACTCCATCGTTACCACAGAGGAACAGGACACTGTCAGGGAATGTGGATAGGATTGTCATGGAGTCAGTGCTCCCACAGCACCACACACACCACAGCATGCCCAGTCCTGAGGGGAAGAGGCTCAGAGCAGGACTGGGCTCACACCAAAGTGTGGATATTCCTGTGTCCTCTGTTGGGTGCGTTAGAAACACAGAATTATTTGGGTTGGAAGGGATCTTAGAGATCATCTCATTCCCATCCCAGGGACACCTTCCACTATCCCAGATTGCTCCAAGCCTCATCCAACCTGGCCTTGGACACTTGCAGGAACTGGGGCAATCACAGCTGCTCTGGCACCCTGTGCCAGGACCCCCCCACTCCCACAGGGAGGAATCCCTTCCCAATATCCCCTCCATCCCTGCTCTCTGGGAAGCCATTCCGTGTCCTGTCACTCCAGGCCCTTGTCCAAAGTCCCTCTCCAGCTGTCTTGGCACCCCTTTAAGCCCTGGAAAAGGCTTCCAGGTCTCATTCCAACCGTTTCCTCTCCTGAACACCCCCAGCTCTGCCAGCCTGTCACTCCTGTGCTGGGGAGGGCTGCAGACAGACAGGGCGGGTTTGGGGCACTCTGGGGAGCAGCACCGTGCATGTGTCACTGCGGGCGGGGACAAGGATCCGCAGCTCCAGAGGAGCAGAACGGGGACTCGGGAAAGGCCGGGGGGTGCTGAGGGTCCCGGGGCTCCCCGGCTGCCCGGGCAGCTCTGAGCGCTGATTCCTAAGGATCCCCGCGGCCCCCGGGGGAGGCTCAGGGTAACCCCATGGCTGTGAGGAGATCGCGGGGCCGGCACTGACCGCCCAGGATGAAGCTGCCGACGGCGGAAATGAAGCCGCTGAGGAAGGAGTTGAAGGGGAAGGTGCCGACGCCGAGGCAGTAGCCGAACTGCAGCGCGCCGGTGAGCAGCACGTAGAGCAGGAAGGCGTCCAGCGCCTTGAGGCGCCCGGCGGTGCCGCCGCCGTACTCGGACAGGAAGCGCCGCGCCACGGCCCGCACCGAGCCCGCCATGGCCGCTCCGGGACTGCGCATGCGCCGCACCGCCCTCCCGCACCGCGCGTGCGCGCAGCGACGTGGCGGTAGGCGATAGGGGAAACCGCGCTTACATACTGCGCATGCGCCAAGGCTACGCGGTGTCCACACCCCTGGTGCTTTCTAAGAGCCAATAAGAGCGCAGAGCCGGCTGTTGCTGGGCAGATTAGAGAGCCCTTCCTTCCAAGGGCCAATGAGAGCCTGGCACCGCTGCTGGGGGCGGGGCCTGGCTGAGGCGGCTCCCTGAGGGACTGTCTGGGGGTTCGTGGCCGGAGGAGTGTCCGAGATCGAGGGTGATGGTGAACAGACCTGTGTCACCCTACTTGGAGCTGGGGAAAGGGAAACCACTGCTTTCCTTTTTTAATTTTCTTTTTTCCCTCAAAAATTCTCATGGTACTGAGCCTCACCTGAGCAAACAACTGAGACCAAAGCAACTTTGCTGCTTTTCGGTTTCTGAAGGGGGGAACAACTTTTCAATAAACCAAAGTAGAACTTTTCTCTACATTCATTGTGTTTAAATCCTTCCAGCCTTCCTGTCTCTCCCAAATGAGGGATGCTCTCACTGTGGGCAGTGATGCTCCCACACAGGCTCTGCAATGAAGGAAATTTTCCTCTCCTAGAATCACGGGCTGGTTGGGCTTGGCAGGGATGTTACCTCACCTTCTGCAGCACCCTTGTGGTGGTTTGTAAAGGTTTTGTGACATTTTTACGTGAAATTTTTACATCTTTGCTGTAAGCAAAGCACCCAAGTGCTTGCTGGTGGAGCCTTTGGGGTGGGTTAGAGTGAGATGACTCTGAATGATGGGTGTTTGTAAATACACACACGTGGAGTTTATTGTAGAATAGTGTGGATGCTGAATGATGGGTGTTTGTAAATATACACATGTGGAGTTTATTGTAGAGCAGTGTGGTTGCACACAAAAACAGGTATGTAGCCATTTTGGTTGTCATTTTTAGTACTATGTGTAAAACCATAACGATACAACTTAAGAAAATGTGTAAGAAAGGAAAGGACGAGGGAAGAAAGATCTTAACACCCACAAACAGTAAACATGGGACAAATAATCACAGGGTGTGATGAGATTAGGTTATAACAACAGGTGGGATATAACAGGACAAATATAAACAATCAGTGCAGCAAAGAACTCTCCAGTCCTGCTACTCCTCCATCTTCACGTGGCCACATCATCTTTTTATGGAATACCTGTAAGAAAACTGGTCCTACTTGGAGCAGTTTTAAAAAGCAGGAACTGTCCATTTGTCCAAATCCTTTTCTTGTCTGGCATGCTACCACTAGAGCAGCAATAATGGAGACATCTGAAACATGCTTTCTGTAAAAAAACAACAAGCCTGAAGCATGCTGGAGCTCCTTTATACTCCCCAGTATCTTTACTTGCTCTGGGGTGGTCAAGGTTTCAAAGGGAAAACACACTGATCCTCCTTTCCACCATATCCCCAGAATTTAATTTTGGAGGAAGGAAGTTGTACTGATGCCTTAAAGTGACTCCCTGGAACAGAGGCTAGGCAAGGTTAAGAGAGTAAAGTGGGTATTTATTAAAGGCCTTCAATAGAAACACCTTGGGCAGTCAGAAGCCAAGAGGGACAGTGGTCATGAGTTTTTCAGACAGATACAAGGTTGGTCCATTTACATATCAGGGGTTAATCCTCCCATTACAGCTCCAGGTGATGAAGTCGTATTCCCCCAAACTCACTTTTGTTTCTACTTTTCGAGGCTGTAGAGTGTCCTTGGATCCCAGGCCCAGAGGAATTGTTGTGTCTGACCAAAATGTGAAGACAGTAACTCACACTCTATACGGAGTTCAGAGCTATACACTAATGCAGTACAAGATTTGAAAAATACAAAAGCTAAAATCCAAAGCCATCAGCACCTTCTCTGTGGGAAATTGAAGTCCCAGACTCTCCAAGGGGGTGATAATATTTGTCTGAGTGATGTCACCGCCGTGGTGACATCAGAGCTGCCGATCAAGGCATGATCAATATGTGGATATTCCTCAGTCCAGGATGCCTCCAGGGATTTGTGACGGCTCCTGTGCGGGATGGGCCAGGCTCTCGAGTAAAGGGACACTGATTCCCCTCCCGGCTAAAAGCAAAGCGATCCCAGTCTGCCTCCTGCTGGTGGAAAATTATACAAAATTTAAATTTCTTTCTTAACTTTAGTCAGTCTTGCTCGCCTTTGCCTCGGGGGAAAGGAATTAAAGTTTCTTTTCAAAGGTCTGTTTCATCACTCAAGGCTTGATGAGCTCAACATCTCAGCAGACTGGGAGCAGCACAGAAGATAAACAAAAGATAACAACCAATAATGAACATCAACTCCAAACATCACCCCTGGCATGGTCAGAGACACCGGGTCTGCCAAAAGATGAGAGAACCAAATAATGAGGACCAAATTAACATCCGAGACCAAGACATCCATAACCAATAGGAAACCAAATACTAAGAACTGGGTGAAACCAATGAACACTGAACCAAGGAATTTCCGTGGATTTTGACTGTACATCTGAAAAATCTAGTAAAGAGTGATGTGTGATGGAAGGATTTTCTCTGCACACCTGGTCAACGTGTGGATGAAATTATTTTACATCCTGGCCGGAATAAAGTAATGCCTTAATTCCTGTTATAAGTACATGTTGTATTATTGACTTTTCACAAAAATTAAAATGAATGCTATACGTATAATGTTGGAAAACTTTGCTCTATTAATATAGTTTCTTGTAGTTCTGCTATTGACAATGCTTAGCAATAGTAGTGTGATAAATATATCTTTTTCTTGGACTATAACATGGTGATGTAAAAAGCTTTTGTTTATGTAACTAACTCAGAGAATGGTAAAAAGATAAATCAGGAAATTCTTCACATTCTTGGATTATCTGGATGAAGACAGGGGTGATGAACACGAGAACTCCAGGGAAAGGATTTATTGATCTCCATTATCGGGGAGTGTGCCGACAAGAAGGAGCCACAAGAAAACAAAAAAGTTAATTTCCAATTTGGGGGAGTGATTTTGAATAATGCATAAAGGTCTATGAATATACAACATGCTGATGCATTTAAAGAAGTGTTTTCTGAGCCAGGGTGTGCTCTTGGCTGAATGCCAAGCACCAGGCCATTATAACCTTTCCCTTTATTGTTTGTCTTTTATTGTCTTTTATTAAACCTTTTAAAATCTACCAGGAAAGGGAACCTCATTTTTCACATTCCTAGTACTAAATGCATTGTTGGAGGGTTTTTGCTTTTCCCACAGTTTCAGTAACACTGAAAGGGAGCCACAAGAACCATGTCTGTGGTACCAATAGCCAGGTGGATCTGCAGTGTGGGGATCGGTGGGGCTGTGTGAGGTACAGCAGCTGCTCCAGGGCACTGTCAGCCACCACTCCCTGTTGGGTTTACAGGAGGGAATTGTACACCTGCCCCTTTCCCTGCAATGCTGCAGTTACTGCAGCAATTCCTGCACACATTCCCAAGGGCCGTGGGTTGGATTTCACGTTTGTTATTTTGAAAGGAGGCAGACTTGGAGCAGAGAGACCAAACACCCTCCCCTGCCTCTGGCATCTGTGCACACACAGCACTGGAATAGATCCAGCCCCAAGGTTTCTGACAATTTCTGTGTCATTCTCATTCCTTGGTAACCAGAATTTTACCCCAGGTTGAGCACTGGGGTTGAGATTTACCAAAACCAGGTTATCTGTATCTTTTCCTTGTCTGGCCTAATGCTGCAGTGAGTTGCAACTTCAGTTTGAAATGCTGACATTTGTGCTCCAGTACCTACCACAAAAGTAGCCAAGGATTTAAAGGGTCCTGTGGGGAATGAATGGGATTATCAAGGCTCTGCTCTTTTCTGTGAGCCTTCACACCTGCCACTCCCCAGCTCACTGCTGAGAGCAGTAGAGCCCAATTTCCCAACTCAGAACAGGTTAAACTGGTTAATTAAATTTCTAGAGGGGCTGGGGGGATGACAGTGTTGGATTCCTGAGGGGCTGCCCCCAGGAGGTCCTTGTGGGATCTTATCCCAGTTCCTTATCGAGCTGGGTAATTTGTCCATTACTTCTCCAGGACTTCCTTTTGCAACACCTTCCACCCACAGACTGTCCCTCATCCTCCCACTAAGTCACTCTCAGCCTGGTGAGGAAGGTTTTAGGACCTGTCCTACCCTCCTGATGTCTGGTTTTGGTTTAAGATCACCTGTAGCAGAGTTCCCCAATTGCTGAGCAGTAGTTACTAACTCTTGAGCTCCCTCCAACCATGTTATTCCTGGAGGTGCACCCTTTCTCCAGGCCTAGGGATTGCCATAATGTGCTTTTCTAATTGTTTAACATGGACTTGTAGTGCATCAGGCAGGCCTCGGGACAGAGAAAGGAATTCTCAGTGGATTCCACTCAATTTCCATATGGGAATGTCATTATGGGTCTGTTATAAGTACATATTATATTATTGGCTTTTCACAAATATCAAAATGCATGCTATATGTATAATGTTGGAAAACTTTGCTGTATGAATATAGTTTCTTTTAGTTCTGCTATTAACAAAACTTAGAAATAGTAGTGTGATAAATATATATTTTTCTTGGACTATAACATGGTGATGTAAAAAGCTTTTGTTTATGTAACTAACTCAGAGAATGGTAAAAAGATAATCAGGAAAATCTTCACATGCTTGGATTATCAGTGACAAACACCAGAACTCCAGGGAAATAATTTATTCATCTCCATTATCAGGGAGTGCAGGACAAGATGGAGGCACAAGGAGAAATAAAAAAAAAAAATTGATTTACAGGTTGGGGGATGATTTTGAATAGGGCATGAAGATCTATGAATATGCAACATGTTGATGCATTTAAAGAAGTGTTTTCTGAGTCAGTGTGTGCTCTTTGCTGAAGGCCAAGCACCAGTATAACTTTTTGCTTTATTGTTTGTCTCTTCAATAAGAGACAAACATTTTATTAAACCTTTTAAAATTTACCAGGAAAGTGAGCCTCGTTTCTCACACCAGTAAGAGATGAGGGGAGAACACTGGACCCTGGGGGCACAAAGGATGTGAGCTGGGAATTTGTGTATTGCTGCCAGCCCCTCCAAGGCATGAGGTAAGAGCAGTGATCACAAGAACACAGCCCTTCCAAAATTCATAGTGCCAGAATCCCTAGCACTGGTGGCTACTGGAGATCTGGGATGTGACACCTCACTCTCAGTGTGTCACAGCACTAGCATAGATATAACTGCAAGAAATGACACATATAAAGTTTGAGTTACATACTGAGACTCCTCAGCTCTTGTCTCCATAGAAGTTTTTACAGTGTATGAATAAAGAGTTAAGATTTCTAGGATCTGATCACCACTGATTAGCTTGCACCATACTAGTGTTTTCACAATTTTTGAGCATTTAATGTTGTTGTGTTTGACATTGGCTAAATGCCAGACACATACAAGAAAACTCTCCACTCATTTTCTTTTGTTATAGTTGAGCAGTGGAGGGGGAAAGAACAACTAAAGTGGCTCATGAGTTGAGCTAAGAATTGGGAAGAAACACTTCAAGGGCAAAACAGGCTCAAAACTTTAAAAGTATAAAGAAAAATTTACTAGCATAATTAAAAGAGGATAATGAGAACTAAAATAAACCTTTAGAACACTTTCCCCCCCGCCCCAGCTCTTCTTTCCTTTCCACCAACAGCGCAGGGAGCCAAAACATGGGGACGTTGTCAGTTTGTCACTTCTAAAAATCTTTTTTCGGTTCACTGAGGAAGAGGAGTTTCTTTGGTTATGTCCTGGGGTTGTTCCCATGGGAGACACTTCTCTGTGAACTTCACCATGGCTCTAACTTTCACCAGAGCCATCCTGCCCACCTGCTGTAACCTGAGTGCATGCACCTGTGAAGGTTAAGCCCAGAAATGATTCAAGTCAAAACACAATTACATCTATATATTGCATGCATTTGCTAGAGGATGGTGAGGCAAAGGGATGGAACAGAGTGAGAGCAGCACACCCTGACCTCAAATGAACCAGGATGGTAAAGGAGCTGAGTGAGATGAGCCCTGGCACAGACCATGGGTTAACAACCAGCACAGTGACACATGAACCTGCTGGAAATACATGTCACATATCATCATGGACTTCCCTCTCCTACATCAGAACTTCCTCATTACCAAACATCATCTGCTATTGGTTTATTATTTGCTCTGTAAACATTAGCAAACTAGAGGAAAACATGTTACAAATAAAGAGATGGGCTGTAGCTTGGAGTCAGTCCCTGTCTTTCCTCCTATTCTAAATGGTTACTGGTAATTTCGTTTATTTGTTCTTGGTGTGCAGTGAAGGAATCAAACCCAACCTCTGAATTGCTTCCCTCAAGAAGAGGGAAAGCATTAAATGTCAAATGTGGAGTTTTGATTCTGCAGAACTGAGATTTTCAGTAGTGACTGTCCTTTCCTCCTCTCCACAACTACAAATGAGCTGATTGAGATGAGTGAGTCCCAGTTTAAGTAAGGATCTGGGTTAATCCTCACTGACTTAGAACTGAATTTGGCTTACAAGTTTTGAAAAGGGTATTTCCTCCTCACTTTAGGTCTCTGCTTTAGGAATCCACATTGGTCACTTCATTTCTAACAGTGAAGAAAGAACAAAAATAATACTAAAGGGTGGTTTAATACTCTAGTCACCATCCCTGGAATGTTCAAAAACTGAGTGCATGTGGCACTTTGTAATATGCTTTAGAGGGCATGGTGGTGTTTGGTTGAAGGTTAGACTTGATTTTGGGAGTGTTTTCCAACCTTACTGATGGTGTGATTCCTGTCTGACATGGGTGCTTTGAGCTCAGCCTCTGGCAGTGCCCTCAGCAGCTGGGGACCAGCTGTGCCATGAGCAGGGAGCTGTGCTCCCTCATCCTGCCCATGGATTGACAACCCCAGCTGCAGGCTGTGGAGCAGCTCTGGACAGCCCCATGGCTCCTGGGGAGGATGTGCTGTTCAGAATTTTAGCAGGCAATAGCCCACTCCTGACTACAAACCCCTGGATACAAACCATGGCTCTTTTCCATGGGAAACAAAGCTCACCATCCCAGTTTCCTCAGTTTCCTGATGGGAGTTTAGAGGAGGCATTTGACAATCCAAAGGCAGCCAGGGCTCTAGGTAGCCAGAGAAATCCTGCACCATGTGGAATTTTAGCAGGCACGAGCCCAGTCCCAGCTACAAGAACCTGGACAAGAACGGTGAGCTCTTTTCCATGGGAAACAAAACTCACCTCTCCAGTTTCCTGATGTCACTTTGGAGGAGGTGTTTGGCACACCAAAGGCATTCAGGGTTCTAGGTGGTGGCTGTTTAGGTCTTGGAGAAATCCTGCACCAGCACTGCCTCTGAAGGGTGACTGCACACCAGGCTGCACCCACCGGCTCTTCTGGCCAGGCACTGAATTCTTGTTGCTTGGCACTTGTGAGGCTGAACTGGGACAACTGTGCACAGTGCAAAACAACCCCAAAGATGCTATTAGAATGGTGTGAGTCGTGTGGAGGACAAGTGAGTGTATCAGAGAACTGGGGCACATCACACCTGAGGAGAAGCAGAGAGAAGACAAAGTCGAGAGGAGGGATCTGCCTGAGGGGGGAGTCAGAGACAAGTTAGAGCTCTCAGAACAAGAGGTGTAGGTCATGGCTTAAAGTAAATCCTTTCTGAACAAAGGAAATAAATATTCACAATGAAAACACAAGGGAAGTTGTGGCACCAGAGGGAAGTTGATACATCCCTGTGTTTGGAGATGTCCACACTTACTGAGGGAAGGTCATGAGCAGCCTTGTCCAGCTTTGCTTTCAGCAAGGATTGAACCTCCAGAGGTCCTTCCCAATCTCATTTTCTCCATGGTTTGATTATACTCTTGCTGTTCTTTCACAAGTGTTTTCCCACAAGGTGTTTTTTCAGATTTTGATACCTAATTGGTCCCTGAGGTTTGACACAGTGAGGAAACACAAGGCTGTAATACACTGCCACTGTTATATAAAAGAGCTGAAGAGAGAGGAAATTTTATTGCCAAAAATCAGTCATCAAACTAAGTTAAGGAGAAACAGAATCAGGCTCAGAATACTTTTTGTAGCATCCCGGATTGTTGTGGATATACTGGTAACTACCTGGAGCATTTCTTAGAGTTTGGGTGTAGTTTTCTGAAGAATAGGGAAAGTTTAAAGGAACATTGACTTGGAAAACTGAACTTTTAGTTTTCATACTAAAGTAAAAGCCTTTAGCTGTTACCAAGGGAGTTTCTTGGTTTAGAGAACTCTCAACTTCCAGATAATCGGTCCACCTGTGGTATTGAAAAATATGTCGTGTATTTGGTATGGTTTGTGAGAGGAAAGTTGTTTTGTATTGGTGTTTTTTGAGAAACAACCATAAGATGATGCCAATAAACTCCTGTGTTCTGCTGGGAAAAGGGCACTAAGGGGAAAGATTTGATGGGAATAGTGCATTAAGAAGGGTTCTAGCATCCCAGCTTATAGTTATCTTTTTGTTGAGCATTTGAAAAGGGAAATTTGAGTGTCTTGTTTGATATGGGTTATCAGCTAAATAAGATGGGCTTGCTTTTCTTGGAAATCCATTTATTTGTTCATGTGTTGGTGTTTATTTCAGCCATTCAGAAAGATCTGAAATGAGTCTGAAATTAATCTAAAATTATTAAAATATCTAGATAACGTAGACAAACCCTGGGAAACATGAGTGCAAAACAAGCCAGGTTTCTTTAGGGCTGGTGTCTGGGAGGAAGAGGAGGGAGGATGCAGTTGAAAAACCACAGATGGGACCAGGCAAGCCTGCAAGTAAAGACTGTGTTTGAAGGGCATCAGGCAGAGTTTTCAGGTTTCATTCACGAGATCACGGCGTGGGGTGGAGTGCAGCAGTGACACAGACAGGACAGGGCACAGCCTGAGCCTGGGGTGGGTGCTGTAAGAGCGAGGGGTGCTTGGGCACGGGGGCTCTGAGGAACAAAGAATGCCCATCAGCACCAGAGCTGATCCATGGAGCTGTAGAGCTGAGGGTAAAGAAACATTTCCCCCAGTTTTTCCCATTCCCTCTCTCACCCTGGTGCTTGCTGTAGCATCCAACCACTCTCTGAGCACTTCTCCTTCTCTGTGTCTGTGTCTCTCAGGCAGCCTTAACTTTGCAGCACTGCTGTCCTTCTGTCTGGCCTCTTCTCTGAAGAGTCTCTACCTCTCTCTGTCTCCTTTTAACTGCAGTAACTTTCTCTTGTGCAATATTAATGTGTCCTTGAACCAATCTAACCTGCTTCAGGGTCAGTCTGTGGTGTGGTTGCATTCCTCTGTGGTAAATTCTCTGGACCAGGTGAAGTTCTCACTCTGGGCATTTGGGGGTTTTTTTGGTGTGGTTGGAGGGTGGATGTTGTCAGATCATTCAGAGAGACCCAGGGTCTATAACAGCTTTTGCACCTCTCTCAAGTGTGCTGAGAGTAGGAATTGTTTTGACTGGGGTGAGGACTCAGTCTTACAAATGGAGCTTGGGTTTCTTTTCCATGACCAGGATTTTTAATGTGTGGGTTACTGTGGTGCTCCAGTCTGTTACAAGAGGTTTGTTGCTAGTATTGCTCTGTAATGTTGGTAAAGCAAAACTGACACGTGTCCAGTTGTTTTCCAACAGTTCCTAAAACAGATCTTTTCTTCTCCTGCCAGCAGTGATGTCCCAATGAACCACACAACTGTAGTGGAATTTGTCCTCTTGGGACTGGCAAACAGCCGCCACCTGGAGATCACCTTCTTTCTGTTTCTTTTCATTGCCTATGTCTTGATCCTGCTTGGAAACATTTCTGTCATCAGCATCACTCTTACAAATAACTTCCTTCAGACCCCCATGTACTACTTCCTCAGGAATTTTGCCCTTTTGGAAATCACCTTCACCTCCACATTCCTCCCCAGCACCCTGTACAGCCTGCTGACAGAGAGGAAGACCATTTCCCTGCCTGCTTGTTTCCTTCAGATGCTGTTTTTCTACTGCTTGGGGACCTGCACACTTTTCCACATGGCAGTGATGTCCCTGGACCGCTATGTTGCCATTTGCCACCCTTTGCATTACACAGCTGTCATGAGCAGCAGATTCTGCCTGCAGCTGATGCTGACCTGCTGGGCACTGAGTTTTTTCTTGATGTTTCCTCCCACCATTATGACTGTGCAGTTGCCATTCTGTGGTCCCAATGTCATGAACCATTTTTACTGTGATGCTTCCCTGTTGTTGCAGCTGTCCTGCACAGACACAGGCTTCATCGAAGAGCTGATGTTCATCATCCTCATCATCATCCTCCCTGGGACTCTGACAGTAACTGCTGTTTCCTATGGCTGCATTATTGTCACTGTCCTGCACATACCATCATCTGCAGGTAGGAGGAAGGCATTTTCCACCTGCTCAGCTCACCTGATCGTGGTGACAGTGTTTTACAGCACCTGCATTTACAGGTACATCCGCCCAGCACAGCGAGGTGGGCAGGACTCTGACAAAATTCTCTCTTTATTCTTCTCTGTGCTGACTCAGACCCTTAACCCATACATCTACTCACTCAGGAACAAGCAAGTCAAGCAAGCTTTAAAGGAGAGAATTCTGAAGTTTTCTGGCTCCCTGAGGCAGATGTGAACGGAGTAGCCCTTTCCAATACCTGAATTATTTCCCAGATGCAACATTTGTATTGTGAAATAAAGATGCTGATTTCAAATGGTTTGTGCTTTCTAGATGTTATGTAACTCCTTCTGTTGGCAATGAAAATATGCCAGCACAGAAAGGATTTTGTAGTCTTCTGTTACATCAGGCTTTGCCTCAGCATTTCCCCCCTTTGCTGGGATGGGTTAGCCTTAGTGAATAACCAAATTTCCACCCACACCTTCCACCCCACAGTGGGACAAAGCAGAGGCAGAAAAGAGGAAAAACAGAAACAAAAGCTCCCAAAGGTTGAGATAAAGACAGAGAGGTCGTTTGCCAATTTCTACTGGGAGTGAAACATACTGGATTTGGGGAAAACCAATGTAATTTATTGGCAGATAAAAGAGTTTAGATTGTGAGAAATAAAATTAAATACTAAATACCTATACTTCCCCCTTCTCTGTGCTCATGTTTATTCATTCATTCCAGCACTGTCCCAAACACACAGGGTGGCTGGGAGGGTTATGGTCAGTTCTTGGGGGTTCTCCTCTGCTGCTTCTTTCCTCTCATGCTTTTCCTCTGCTCCAGTGTGGGAGAACACATTGAGCTACCATGCTCCAAAGCAAGTACAGAAATACCATTCTTATTAATATGCTCATTTTTAGAACTTCAGCTTCCACAAAGCTGTGTTTACAATCACTACTGATGCCTGAGAGAGGCTCCCTGGAACAGAGGCTGGGCAGAGTTAAAGGAATAAAGCAGGGATTTTTAAAAAAGCCCTCAAAGGATTCACCTTGGGCAGTGCAGGAGCCCAGCCATGGCTACACCCAAGTCACGAGTTCTCACACTTTTATCAGTTTTGGTCCATTCCCACTTTGGGGTTCATTGTCCAATCTCAGCTCCAGGTTCTGCAGTCCCATCCTCCCAGATTCTCTCCTCAATTCTCTGCTGTTTGCACTTTTTGGGGCTGAAGCTGCAGTGGTGTCCTTGGTTCTGGGGCTGGAAAAGGATTGTTCGGTGTGACTGAGCTGGGAGGAAAACTTGGAACACTTTATATGAAATTCAGAGTCACACACTATGGGGAGATCAAAATCACCAGAGATGGGGAAACTCAGAGACTTTTTAAAAGATGATTTATTGCCTCATGGTGTCACTCATAGAAGGGTGAGATGTTACAGATGTTACATTTAATGCCATAATATCAGAAGCTGTCTAATTCTCAGCTATAAGACATTATAGCTAAGTTAGTTGTTTAGCCAGTCACTTACTTCTACAAAACTCGATGCCATCTTTTTACACCAATCATGAATTGCTTTGCTTTTCATGGCTTTGATGCAATGTGTCATTTTTAACCAATCATAGAACACTTCACAAACCTACATAGATACATTTAAAGCTTCTAACTGATTTTATAACAAGTTTTATTGCCAAACTTTAAAATCTTTTACTCTCTTACTTGATATATTACTTTGCTTACATAATACATATCTCTCTTTGCTTAAAACATATTTCTACTCAAACTATGAACTTATATTCTTGTTTTATGTCTGTTTCATTTTCACTATCCCAATTCTCCAAGCTTTTTCCAAGGGTTTAGGTCAAACCTTGTATCCCTCTCTATCTCTGAGCCTGTGTGCACAAGGCCCTGAGAGCTCTCTGTACTTGCAACTCCCAAAACACACTAAGGCAGTGCAGAATCTAAAATACGTGAAAGCTAAAACTGAAGGCATCACTGCCATACACATCTACCCATCACCAAAATTCCTTGTCCAACCTCTAAGCCAGTAGAGGATAACCCTGGATCCCAAGTACATTCATGGAACATTTGTTTCAGTCTTAGCTGTAAAGGCATTTCCAGGTTTGGGGCTGCCTTTGGCTGATAATGGTGAATGCAGGAATCTCCACCAGGAATTTTTACAGCTGTGTGGATAGTCAGGACAACTTGGAATGGTCCTTTCCACTTTTGCTGGAGTGGTTCTTTGCTTCAATTCTGGACATATCCCCAATCTCCTGGACAGTGAGAGTGTGGCTGAACATCCAAGGTCACTGATTATGCTAAAATAATCAACCTGTGCAAGGATGAGAGTGGTTTTTCCCAAAATTTCCCATACTCCCCCAAATTGTGATACCTTATTGTGTGCTTTTCCGTGGGTTAACAATTAATACTACTAATAATTAATTAGTAATTAATAATTACAGCCTAACTTTGTCTCCCATATAGGATTTCATAGGGAATTACCTTCTCCTTGGAGCTTGGCTGAATTCTAATTCTCAGCAATGCCAGGGGAAGAGCCTTTGGCCACTTTGGCCAGTGCTCTTGTTGAACCTCATGGCATTGATCCTTTGGCCACTGACTGTTCCCACTGACTGTGGCCTGGTGTGTCCTGGTGTGAGTGTCTGCACAGAGGCTACCTGTGCAAAAATATCTAATGTAACAAGTGACACCACGTCCCTGGGAGATCACTTTTTCTTGAACAAATAATAGACAATAGACTGCCAATCCCTAAAAAAAACCCCAAAACACCAAAACCTACAAAAATAAAAATAAGAGAAAGGAGAGAAGAGGGAAAGAAAAGAAATGTATAATTATAATAACTAACATTGCATTGACATTTTAAAAAATTAAAACCTTTTCTTCTCATTATTTCTTTCAGTACCTGTTATATTTTCTAGTTTGTTCTACCTTTACCCAGCTGGCAACTAAGGATCACACAAGCACTCACTCCCTCCCCCAGGGTGGGGTGGGAGCAGAATTGGAAAAAGGTGAAACAGTGCCTGAGATAAGAACAGTTCAATAATTGAAATAAAGTGAAATATAATACTAATAACAACAACGATAATAATGCAACAGAGAGGGAGGAATAAAACCCAAAGGAATCAAGGGGTGCACAGCACAATTGCTGTCCTGACCAATGCCCAGCCCAGCCCTGAGCAGCCACAATGCCACAGACACTGTGTGTGCTGCAGGCACAGCCTTGCAGTCACAGTGTTGCAGTCACAGTGTTGCAGTCAATGTTGCAATCACAGTGTTGCAGTCAATGTTGCAGTGACAGCGTTGCCATCACCATTGCAGTGACAGTGTTGTAGTGGCCGTGTTGCAGTCACTGTGTTGCAGTCACTCTATTGCAGTGACAGCGTTGCAGTGACCATTGCAGTGACCACTGCAGTCACAGTGTTGCAGTGACAGTGTTGTACTCACTGTGTGTTGCAATCACTCTGTTGCAGTGACAGTGTTGCAGTGACAGCGTTGCCGCGGCAGTGTTGCTGTGACAATGTTGCAGTGACCATTTTAGTGACAGTGTTGCAGCGCTGCAGTGACCATTGCAGTGGCAGTGTTGCAGTGACAGTGTTGCAGTGTTGCAGTGACAGTGTTGCAATGTTGCAGTGTTGCAGTTGCAGTGCTGCAGTGTTGCAGTGGCAGTGTTGCAGTGGCAGTATTGTAGTGACCATTGCCGTGACAGTGTTGCAGTGTTGCAGTATTGCAGTGACAGTGTTGCAGTGACAGTGTTGCAGTGACAGTGTTGCAGCGCTGCAGTGGCCGTGTCCGGGCTGACCCTGTGCCCTGCAGCACAGGCTGTGTGTCTGTGTTTGGGTGCAGCTTTGCAGGGTGTTGCAGCTCTGTGTTTTGTCCCGCATGCCATGGGTGCATTGTGACAGCAGCGCTGCCCGGGCACTGCAGGGCTGTTGTG